CAGAGCACCCAGCAGTTACAGTGCCTCCCACTGCCACCTGGACTGGTTCACTGTTTCCATTGGTGGCAGTGTGGGGCTGGCAAGCTCTGGAGAAAAAAGGGATCAGGCCCCTTGAAGCTCAAGCACTGAGCTGGTCGGGCAGAGGCAGGAGGTACTGTGGCTAGCAGGTACTCTGGGGCTGTGATACTTGTTCTGTCCAGTGGGAGCAGCAATCTGGTTCTACTCCTAGTATATTTATTGGCATTGCAGCCAATGCCAATAAATATAACAGTCTAAAAAAGAAACACACAAAATATGAAAACATTGTGGCTGACAGCACTGACTTCGTATGCACTAAGAAACATTTTACATAGGCTCCTAGTTCTGCCCCTGCTTACCAAGCCTCTAGTGATGTCATAGATTTGCAGGCGTGAATTCTCCACTAAACTGAACAACACTAAGATGATTAATGTTTGCTTGGCTTGAAGCATAAGGTATAACAAGGTCTTTAGTTATTTCCAAGATAGGAAAATGTTCAGATTCAGTTCAGTTTAATATTTGGGTCACTATTTTTCTTCAGTGTTTCATGTTCATTGCCAGTAGTGTGCAATCATTTTGATCCACTGTATTAATGCACCCATTGAGTCAATCAATCTTGTATATTTAAAGAATTGATGATATGAAAATATCTGGCTTTTCTGTTTCAATAATTGGAAATATATTATGCCAATATGAGTTTAGCAGAATAATCAAGACTGTGTAAAAACTATGATCTGTGAAGCTGAAGTGTTTGAAATCACTGAAGACATGACTCATTTCAAGTAAAATGAAATTGCAGAGGTGGTGCTTCGTGACTTGTGCAGCGGATGTTGAGGTGCTTTGTGTTGATTTCATTAATAAAGAAGCTATCACTGTGATTCACAGAAGTTTGCAATTGTGTAAGCTTATTTCATAGCTCTTCTAAAACTGAATAATAGCCTTAGAAGTACTAGCCCTGAGGAGGCTAACAGCAAGACCACTGCTTTTTGTGCAGCATCATTCAAAATTTGTCAGTAAAGGTTACATTATGGTATTTGAGGATATACTGAGGGCATTTAACTCCACAAGGAGTCCATAGCAGTATAAGTAAAGGTGTTGGAATCTCCAAAAGATATTTGATTATGTACCTAGGTAAATGTATGCAAAACATCTGTCATATTGAACTTATACTGCAGTGATTGCTCCACCGTTCCTACACCCTAGAACTTCATCATAGAAAGTGGGTGTTGCAGACCTGAATTCAATGCTGCTGGAAGCCGAATTAGTTTCTAAAGGATTTTCAGAGGAAGATTCTGCAGTTTCTGGGGGATCATATCCAGTGGCTACTCCTAGGTCTAGAGCAGGGGTGGGCAATTACTTTGGGCGGAGGGCCGCTTACTGAGTTTTGGCAAGTCATTGAGGGCCGCATGACAGCTAGCCAAGAGCAGATAAATATTCATTTTCTAAATTTTGTAGGAGCTCCGTGGGCTGGATAGAATGGCCTGGTGGGCTGCATTTTGCCCACCCCTGGTCTAGAGACATGGATAAAAAGTTTCCATGAAAAGGTTTAGATTACTGGTTCTCAACCCTTTTTGGCTCAAGGCACCCCTTGAAAAAGTTCTTAGCTTGCACTCATTTTTTGACTACAGAAAAATAATACAATTCTTCTGCTGCAAAGAACTCTGAAAGACTACAACAAGTCAGAATGTTGTTGACACTATAGATTCCTATTTGAAATCTTTGAGTTTATTTTGCGAATTGTGTGTAGGTTTTTGCACACCTAAAAGTGCTAATATTGCGTGACACCCTTAAGTACCCCAGGGTGCCATGGTACCCTGGTTGAATTATTGATTTATACAGACAACGGCTTCTCATCAAAATTAGAAGTTTTATGCCTCTTTGTTTGTGGAGGTGTGGTTTTGTTTTTTGGGTTTTTTTGATCACCAATGCTAGGAAATATAAGACTGGTTCTTAACCCAAATGAGGTTACTTGCCAAAAATGAACCCAAGAGCAGAGCACAGTCAGAACCAGCATCTCTCTCCATCAGAAACCCCCCCCTACAAATCATATTGAAAATGTGTTGTGTGTAAAGCAGACATCATTAAAAGGGACTAGATAAGCTCTAGATACATTTGCAGCTACTCTGGTTTTCTTTTCTCGAATTTCATGAACCCATACAGTAGACCTTTGAACTTGGGGGAAAAGACCAAGATAGAACTAACTGTATCTTAAATCAAGTATTTAAACATCTAATGCTCAATTTTTCAGTTTCACGTGGAAACACACACACTCACATACACACATGCAATCTGTACCTCTACATGCAATGATTGCAAATATATGGTTTCTATAAATGTGGGTCTTAACTAGATCAAGTCACATTTTTTAATTTTGAATTTAAAAACAATAGTTTTAATACAAAAACCCAAATTTTATTGAAAGGAAATTGGAAAAAATAATGAAAAAAATACTTTCTGATTTGTTTTAGAACCACAGAATCATAGGAAAGTAGGGCTGGAAGGGACCTCATGAGATCTATATAGCCCCATGCTCAAGGCAGGATCATCCCTGACTAAACTATCCAGGTCAAGTGTCTGTCTAAGATGTTCTTGAAAATTTCCAGGGATAGATTCCATAGCTTTTCTAGGTAGCCTGTACTAATGCTTGACCAACCTCATAGCCAGCCACAAGCCAGCTCTAGCTTTAACATTTATAAACATACAAGTTTACAAAAAAATCATATCTCTATATTGTCTTTTTTAATATCTGGATCAGAAGAATTCTCAAGGACTGTTTCAGTCCATTATGTGGTAGGACATGAGGACAAATCTGTTGATGCAATGAATTTGATGGAGTGATTATAATTTACATTAACTGAGGTTCTGCCTCAGAATCTCATCACAAAATGAAATCAGGGAAAAAAATAGTATTACCAGAGGGTGTTTTAAACTTTCTCTGAAGCATTCTTTACAGGTTGCTACTGGAGGCTAGTTACCAAATAGGTTCTTTGTTCTGATGTGGGCATGGACAGATCCAAGATTTACTAAAGGAGGGTGCACCACACCACTCCTTAAGCTATGATGAGATAGAGGCCAGGGAGGGCTGGAGCCCACAGATCATCAGGGGACACTAGGGAACTGGGTAGAGATCAGGCGCGCTAAGGGGGAAGGGATATGACTCATGCCCCGCTGCTGTGACTCCACCGCCACTCTCCCTGGCTGACCTTCATTCCCTTTCTCCCATCTTCACAACATGGGCTTTCTCTAGGTCACTCTATGTCCCCGTTCTGTTTCTGTAATGGTATACAGAAGTTGTATGAATTGGACCCTTAAGATTTGTTCAATTCTTTGAACATACAAAACACTATCTGGTTGTGGAATTACTGCCTGTTGAGAGTTTTTGAAAAGCATTTCAGAAATAAGTTATTCAGTACTTCTCAGCCACCTGTGCTAGATGCTCAGCACAGTTCTCAAAGATGTCGAAACAGTCATTAAAACTAGGCATCTTGTGATAAGTAACAGCTGGCTGTTAGGACTGCCCCAAGAGAACAGATGTTGCTTGGAAGCAGCGCACTTGTACTTCTCTGTTGTTGACAGTACCTAAGATTAATTAAGACTCCTGTATATTATTTTACCTGAGAATGCCTAGGGACCAGATTCCAGCTTGAAGACAACCAACGGGCTGTTCCAAATTAAATAGTTTAGGGTTCTGTCTGCTGGATATTATTTTCATGACTTTTTTTATTAACTCTTTCCATGACTAATGTGAGAAACCAATAGCATCCCCTGATTTAAGAGTCTGAAAACACTAAATGGAGGGTTTGTAGAATGATTACACATACATAGTATGTTATTGCTGCAAAATGAGTCCTTTAATTCTGCCTGCTATTGAAAGTATGGGAAACCTATGGGATGACTGGGGTTTTGAGGGATAATTGAAATCAATGACTAACAAACAAAAATGATGTCTACAGCGCTGCATGTGGCAAAAGAGATTTCATTATATGTGACTAGACTTTTTTTTATCTTTCCTTTTCCTCGTATAACAATAGGAGAATCATTGTTCAGGATATTTCTTGAGGATTAATGGCCCATTACAATAAATGGCCTATTATCTCCCTCAGCTAGTCATTCATCTTTAGAAAATACCCTAAGCCTTATATCATTGGTGTTTAAAATTAAAATGTAATTATTTAAAGTTAGCAGCTTGCTGATTGTACCCCCTAGCCAAACTTGTTCTTACTTGAAATGGCTCCATTTTCATTCTGACTTAAACACATTTTGTAGGAGATAAAGAAAGTACAAAGATGTCCTGCAGCCTGTTATTACAGACAATCAACTGATCAGATCATGCAAGCTCTAATAAAAGAACATCTTAGAAAACTGAAAAATGTATGGTAAACATTACTTGGTCTAAGGTCCTACCTAATTATGACAGTATGATTCTTAATCCTTTCTTGTACACAATCAATGGACTATATTGTAGCAAGTACATCTCCTACCTGTAGAATATGACACATTTTGTTATTTAATCTTAAATTTATAGACTGCCTCCATTACTTTGGGTTGCTAAATGTTATGAGGTACTAAACATACTTCAAGAGATATGCTTTGGCACTTCTGGCAAACTGAATTCTATTTTTTCTCTCTAAAAATGCAGGTTATTTATGAAATCAGTGCCAGATTTCCACATACCCTCTCTTGCATTCTCATCCTTACCACTAATTTACTGGACATTTTCTTGATCTAACTGATCCTCTTAACCTAGGCTGAGCCCTACCCTGCAGTCCAGCTATTTCATTTAAATGTCACATCACTTCAGAAACACAGTAGTATTCATTAACCTTACCAACAGCCATCTCAGCCTGTTTTCTTGTAATTTAACCTGGTTGTTACATGTTCAGAGTCCTGTTCATTTACTGTATTATATTTTAACTAGACTCTCTCTGTCTATATAGATCTATCTATCTATCTAGACTGAGTCAGTTTTCTTTCAGTCTTACCTCTGTATTCATAACCTCATGCTGCAGAGATGTCTTGCGCATGCTCCTTATCCTGAAAACTTGGGTTTGCTAGTTGTTTGTTTTGTTAATTTCCATGACTTGCAAGGAATCCAGCTTCATTAAAGTCAGCATTCAGTGGGCTGGTATATGCCTCTGCACTGCGAGGGCTTTTCTTTAATTAATATATGGACTATAATATAGTGTTTGTTTTGAATCTGATGTCATGGGAAAAAAGTGTTGCTTGACTCTGTGTGGAAACTTGCCCAGATACTTTCAAGTTGTTTCTTCTTTGAGTGCAGTATCATCTGTTTGAGACTTTTCATTTGTTTTCTATTGGTTATTTCTGCTCATCCACAACCACTTTCCAGTCCAAATATAGTGCTACTGGATTTAACAAACCCAAGAAGCGGTTCTGTATATGGTTTATGTTTAACAAACCAAACCAAATTCTTTCTGCAATGACCTGGTCCAATTTGTCACAGAATAAGAAAGACATAAAAGGACTATTCATGCAGACATTAAAAGTACAAGATCCATTTGAAAATAAAGTTAGAACAACTATACAGAAAAGTGACATGCTTTTTCTTCAAACTTCTATTGACCAAAGATAATTTGGGATATGCATGGATTTTAAGGCAGAGACAGTTATCACTTAGTTTACACTGCAGGAACTTCCCAGAAGATACCCAGTACTAGGGCTGTGTGAAGCTTCAGTCGTTGATTTGATTCGGAGGAGATTTGGCCGAATCTCCGAATCCAAATTGAATCAGGAGACTCATTAATTTCTCCGAATCAACTTGGAAGCCTCTGATTCAATTTGAAGAGATTCAACAATTTGGCCATAGGCACAGCTTTATATGTTTTTTCAATGTATCTTGAGGTATCAGGCATGGCTTGTAAATGCTGAGATGGTGGGGCAGATGGAGCATCCCATGGGAGCGCAGGGGGGTCCCCTGTGCGCTGGGCAGCAGACCTAGAAGTGGACCAGAAGTACTTCTGGTCCACTTCCAGGTCCACCACAGAGTGTGTGGAGGCCCCCCCTGCCCTCCGGCTCAGCAACTGGTGCCTCCTAGGTCGGGGGGGGGTACCCAGGGTCCCCCCATGGCTGATTGCCGAGCCAGGGAGGTGCAGGGGGGTCCCCCGTCAACCATACAGGGGGACCGACCCCTGTGCTGCTGTGGGATGCTCCATCTGCCCCACCATCTCAGCGTTCATGAGCTGTGCCTGGTACCTTGAGGTATGTAGAAAAAACATATAAAGCTGTGCCTATGGCTGAATCACTGATTCTCTGAATCAGAATCGAATCTTTAGATCTAGATTCAGCCAAATTGAATTGGGACAGTGATTTGAATCAGCTAATCGAATTGCTGTCCCCTGAATCAGGCCGAATCTGAATCCAAATCGAATAGTGCCCGCTTAACACACCTCTACCCAGTATCTGCTTTAAAAGTTCAGCTGAAACAAATGTAGGTGCATGAGCATTTAACACAAAGATAATTAGCTGACATAAATTGATGTAGCTCTACTAAAGTCAAATGAGCTATGCTGATTTATACTAGCCATTGAGTTGTCCCTTAAATTGTAGAGAAGTTAATATGTGGGATTAGTACAGCAGTGCTGCCTGGCATTAATATCCTATTGAGATGTAAAAGGAATCAGAACTTATGGTAAAGGTGATATCTTTTATTAGACCAACTAGATTTTTGCAAAAAAAATTATTTATTTGCAACCTTTCAGGCACAAGCGCCCTTCTTCAGATATAGGAGAAAAGGTTGTAAGGTTCTCCCAGGTAGAAATGAAAGTTCATATTTCATAGGAAAGTTGAAGGCGTGGTAAAATCTGTTTGGAACAGTTCATTTGATGCAGATTAGGCTCAGAGAAAAGTTGGAATAATCTGTTTACCTTGAAGTTGTTTGGTGGTAAGCAGGATGTAGAGTCATATTTCCTTTTGATTATGAGGTACTGAGATACAACTTTGTATATTGAGATGTATCTGTATATTGAGATGGATCTGTGTATATTGAAATACAATATGTATTTATACATCTATTGAAATGTATACATACATATTAAGTTTTGGTATGAAACCCCTCTGACATTGGTTATCCTGCTTTTTCTATCTGTTGTAAAACAGCTTGTTCTTATTTTTTCTGTTAGTGCCATGATTGCCATAAGAAAATAACAAGGTTCTATGATGCTGCTGGGAGCAATTGCTCTATGTATGTTGTATGTACAATGTATGAAGTTCCATCGCCAGAGAACATCCATAGCATATTGAAAATGTTCAGGAAATTAAGAGTTTACTTATACCAAGTTAGTTCTGTTATGCCTATGCAAATTGGAATTGTTCTGTAGTTTAAAAATTCACTTGAGTAAAGTCTGTGGACACAATATAAGGCACCTTTCTGACAGTAAGACTGTCACATTCCTAATGTCAGAGTCCTGCTCTAAGGCTCATTAAGAATCATTAAGGCATTTGACCTCTTAACAAAACCAATGAGACAAAGTTAATGTTGGTGTAATTATCTTTAACTAGGCTCATTCCTCAAAGCAGTTGAACTATTTTTTCTTGAACTTTACTGCTTGTCTCCAACCCTGGGTAACCCACCAGGGTATGGGGGCTGGGGTTTTAAGATACCCCTACCTGCCTTTCACCAGGGAGGTAACTGGCCTGGCATTTCTGGGGGGCTGTCCTGCCACGTCCAGCCCCACCAGGCCACTCTTCCCTGGCAGGGTGCAGTTTTCAGTCATATCCAGGACCAGGAGCCTCTTACCATCCCCAATAGTTCCTGCCCTTACCTCCAGGGTGTTCTGAACACCAGCTCAGCTGGGTGTTGCACTTTGGCTGCCTGCAGCAAACTGCTACAGCAGCCTTGAGGGCCTGGATTTTAAAATGCAGGCTGATCAGCCCCCTCCTCCAATCACAGGACCCTCCTGCAGTCAGGTGCTCCCTGCTGACTGCTTTATAATCCTTAAAGTGGCAGGCACCTCGGGTGCATTTCCAGAGGGCCAAAATAGGCAGGCCTTCCTCAGGCAAACCCCGCCTTAATTTCAGTGAGTGTTGAGGAGTTCATGATTTAACCAAGATGAGAATCAAAACATGTCTAAATAACAAACAACACTGAATTTCAACCTAATCTAAAATGCTTTGGATTGAAACTCTGCAGGAAAATAAATAAAAACCAGTGGGCTTTAGAAATAACAAATTGGGGAAATGTAGGCTGGACAAAACTACTGTAAGATGGAAAGATAACTGGCTTGATACCTAGGGGTCTTCCAAACTCAAGTAGGAGGCCAGCCAATTTCATAGGCAGATGGTAGGGCCAACCACCATATTCATGAGCTGAACATGGTGGGGCCCTCCCATGCCTCTGATTGGCTGAGGGGCCCCAGCAGTCCTGCCCCTCCCTGCAGATTGCCACATGGCCCAAAACCATGGCTTACTTACCCTGATTGAGACTGGGGAAGCCATTAATCCATGCATTATTAATAATAAATAATAACACATGGAGTAATGGCTTCCCCAGGTTTAATCAAAGTAATTAAGCCAGTTTCAGGTCATCTGAAGTGGTGAACTCCATGCTTTTGGTGGGCTTGCTGCAAATAAATAAATAAATAAATAAGCTTACTGCCAAGGATAAAAGTATGCAGGAAGACTTGCAGTATTGGAGCACGGGGCAGGGGGAGGAGGAGTGTGGATGGTAGGGGTATGGGGAAGGGCAGAGGGTGGAGGCAGTCCCGCCCTGCCTCTGTTCCATTCCCTGTTATTTTGCATAACTCCATCTCCCTTCCATAGCCCTGATCCTTCACTTGCATAATCCCACCTCCAGTCCTACACTCCCACTCCTTTCCCTAGCTGGCAGCGATTGGCAGTGCTGCCTTTCTCTTCTTCTGTGCAGCCACCTGCTGCAGGAGATTCGTGGTTTTAAAAATTTAGCATCAAGCTAAGTTTGACATGTCATTTCATCAGTATTGTATCAATACAATATTCATTTTAAAAAGCAAACTTTCCCTCAATATGTTGTGATATTGAGAAAGCAAAAGCTAATGAACTTTTCCCCACTCCTTGAAATGTAGTGGCTTGACCTTTGATAATTATGAGATTCAAGAATGGCGTGTGCCTCCGGTGACTGGTGGGGCATGGCTGCACTGTCAGCAACAGGAGCTCAGCAGTGGTAAGCTGGGAGCACCTGCAGATGCCACTGGTACTGTTGGTGGCAGGGAGGGGGCTGGTGAGTGCCAACCAGGGGTCAGCAACCACCCACAGGCACCACCAGCAGCAGTGGTGATGGCCAGGGGTGATTGTAGATTGCCTGCAGGCACTGCCGATAGTGTCGATGGCGCCTTTTTGCAGGGGGTGCACCACCACGCTGAGGGGCTGCACATACACACACGTGCACCACCTACGCATTGCTCCGATGAGATTTTTTTCCTTCAGATTTCACAGAGAAACATGCATGAACCATCAAGAAAAATCTTACCAAGGTTTCAGAAAAAGAGATCTGAAGTTACACTACCTTTGCTCTGTTAACCTACTTTCAAGTGATCATTTCCATCTATAGGCACTGCTGCTACCTGCCTGACTCCGTTTTGTAGATTATTTCTGGAAGCAGCTTGAACAATCCTTTGCAGGGCTTTGGATGATTTAGAATTAGCTAAAGCCCCTTAGATAAAATTGTTTTAATCCTCAGCAATCAGTCCTAACCAGATGCAAAACATAACGAAAATATATTTTTCTTTGAAAGTAAAAGATGGAAACATCTACAGTAGAGATGTTTATTTTTTGGTTGATACCTTTATAGCATCGACCTAAAATTTCCTTTCCCCCAACCAGTGGCATCAAACCTATATGGTAGCCTCAGGACTTGCGTTCATATCTTTTTCGTTATGTGCAATGTCAAGTTCAGAAGAAAGCACTCATTTCCCACTTTGATTAATGTTTTCTTTATAATTAAGACAAAAACAAAGCTGCAGACATGAAATGTGTTCAGGGACAACTGAAAAATACTACTTGAAAAGATGTTGGAATTGCAAATGGGCATCTTTAGCTAATCTATACAGGAAGCTGCCAAGACTGAAATGCAGATGGTCAGTCTATATTTGAAAACCTAT